AGCACACATGAGGAACTTGGCAGTATTGTGAACAAGATTCATCTATTCTAAATGTTAACTTATTTGCATAGGAGGTTATTAATGACAATATAGGCCAAAATTACCCGGTATAGGTTATGATTGAGTAACATCTTAAAAAGGACCTTTACTCCTTTGAAATTTATTTCGAAATTTGAGTCATGTTACAGTCGGACAAACTCCCTCGGCGACAACTTGCCTTGTGCAGGAAATTATAATTCCCACAATGACACCGACAGACCTGTAAAAAATAAATCTCTTGTAGGTACCGTATTTAACCAGCTTTATTTAAACGTTTTGTACAGAAAACGGATGAAAGTAGAGTAACGAAAAAAGTATACAGAGTGGATATGAATGGGGCTGTCGGTAGAGGGCACCCTAGACGGACATAGTGACCAGATTGGCGATATATTAAAGAAGGGCCAAATTAAAAGTACCCTTAACCGACGAGGATGCATGAAAATAGTGATGACTGTTGATGAAGCGAAAGAGGTATGTAGGAATCGTAGTAATTGGCGTTCCATAGTCTCTACCTACCCCCAAGGGAGACAGGCGTGAAGTTTGTTTATGTATGTACAGAAAACGATATTAGTCCTGACGTAATACAATAATCCAGTATCCATACAGACACTAAGAAATACTTTTTTATTGTACATATATTACAAACGAAATGAGTAACGTAAAGATAGCATGCCGTTTATTCAACGATAATGACAACAAAGGTTTATTGGAGTAACTATATATAATTATGTATTGTTTTAATATTTTTAATTTTTCGTAGGAAACGTATGAAAACATCATTAGCATTCGAATTTTGGAAAATATATGTATCATAGACATTGTAGAAAAGACTTTTTTAAAGAGTAACGAATGGAGTTATTTTCTCGTTCTTCTCTATTTGAATCTACATTTTGGAATGAGCACCTAGCGCCATTTACCTTCACTAACGGACTGACTGATAGACTATTTATTTAGGTATTTATTACTTATTTTGTATTTGTTGACGTTTCAAAAGTACCAAATTATGGTTTAATTAAAATAAATGCTTTTAGACTTTGAATATCTGTTTTCATGGAGCATAGAACGACGAGTTTAAATTTTCAAAGGACTACAAAAACATATTTACTCACTTTATACTTAGTAATAATTAAATTCAAAAGTACAATACAATGTTAATGTTTAAATAGGTAACTATTTATTTAGTACACGTATGTTATTATCTCCCACATTTATTTACCTAAGTGATAATATTTTAATTAAAAACGCAATCCACAAATGCAATTTGATGACACAATTGCGGCTTTTGCGGCATGAAATATAATTATTGCAATATTCGGGGACTACACTTCAATGATAAAGTTCATACCTACCGACCTATCATTTATCTTCCTTTATTCAATTAACATCTCTCGTAATGCAAATGAATCCATTTCATTTTTGATATGCCCGCATCGACCTAGTTCAACGTAAATACCGTTTGTTAAGGAACTCTGGAAACAACAATAACGACCGGTGCCTGACATAGATACTAGATATAACTCGTCATTATGATGATAAATACTAAATATCGATTCGTTCCCAGTTCTTGGTCGTGCTCGAACTTAGCTAATAGGTGCTTGGAGCTGCCCTGACGCGGTGGCGACCATTCAACCGATTTACGACCTAAATGTATTGTGCACGGCGTTTACAGTAAGTAATTCTAACAAATGACAGCTAACTGGCCATTGCATAATTGATTAAATAGCTCTGCAGGGAGGCTACACATGCAAACGATTAGTTATATTCGTAATTCCAGCGCTAATAAACGTCTACCGGCAGAGATTGATTGCGAATTCTCTGCATCGCATCCTCGGTACATCTTTTGAGTACTATTCAAATTATTTTTACGACACTTATAATTTATATCGACCTACGAGTATGCTAGCTATGCAAATGTTTTTCAATCTTTTCAATTAGCGACTTATCGTTAAAATATATGCAAATGTGATGATAATTCTGCAATTCAATGGTGGACTTTTAAATTCAGCTCACGATTCTAATTAGCTTATTTAGCTATCCCGTTCTGGATGTAGGGATGCATGCAAACTGCATAATGTAAACATTCAGCAGGAGGCCCGCACTACGCGGAATAGACTCGGCCGCCAAGTTTATACAAGTAAACCATCCGTTGAAATGAAACAGATATGCGCAGAATAACGCACCTCCATATCATTACGACAAAATACTACACACTAACTGCAAATATACCAATTACTTGATGCAATTTAAAATCTGCGAGCGTCTCTGCGGATTATCAGCTGTTGGTCTCGAGTTCTGCAAGTAATCGAATGTGTTCAATGTTCCACTGAATTAATTGAATGTGTTTTCGTAGCATCTTCAACACATAACAAATAATAAAATAGTGAGGCTGAAGTAAAAATATCAACACAATCGTTCCTCCGACTACACAAAATATGAAATATAGGACTCCTACACAGCAAAATTAACACTAAAAATAAATTCTTGATGAAACCTTTGGAGAGCAGGAATTCTGCGAATGAAGTAAGGGCAAAGTGCTCGTTAACAATAAATTAGAATTACCTTGAGTACCGTCCCACGAACGTCTACCAGGGAAAGTAGATACCAGCATGTGATGCTAACCGAAACTGTCCAATATCGGCAATAGAATTTGAACTTTATAATAGAACGTTAAAGGTGGAAATGTGTTAAAGGAAATTGTGAGATTGGGAGAACTGGATATGCTAGCATCTGTATTCATCGAGTCTTCTCAATAACATAAGATTGCAGCAGCTTTTCATGTCTCGGGAAATCGGCAAACGGTACAAGATATGGCTTTCTCTGAATCTTTTATACAGTTTATAAATGTCAGTGGAATGCTGAGAAAGTCAATTCATCTCGACAGTTAAAGTCACCTGGTAAAGCACTTTACCTAATATTGACTTCTATTTGTAGGGGGCTCTTGCTTTCTAAGGAATGAGAGCTGATTTAGTACTTAGATTATCTTCTATCATACAGCTCTTTTATAGTGAAGCTAAGCTACCAGTAACCTTTTTAAACCTAGGTCAGTCAATTAGTTCAGTCAGAAGATTGGATGGACTGTTCTCAAATAAGATAAAGATAAGTTTAATGTTTATTTTCTCACCAATTATTTAACCATTAATTATGTATACATTATTACAAAATGGACGTTTATTTAAAGCAAACAATATCAAGTAAAAGTTTACGATATTCATAGTTAGTTTGTGAGAAATTATTAAGTTTAAAGACAATTTTCGGAATAACAGGAATTCTTAGGTTGTAAGGATGTAACAAATTATTTTAATTTTTACTACATAGATGGGTATCTTGAATGTTCTAAAAGTGAACTTGAGAGTCATTAAAAGTTGTAAAAGTAAAATCTGACATTTCTAAGTATTTAATCTACCTTCCTTCCCATTACCAATGTCTATTCGGATTGGGATCAATATAAGGATCTTGGATATAAGGACCTTATTATTGAGCGAGGTGGTGTGATACATGTCTACATTTCCATGTATTTTGTAAGAAAACTTCTTTTTTATGGGATAATTCGTTAAACGAGCAGACTGATCTGAGCAATAAGCTTCATCATCATCGCATACGACCAGGCGAGATAGTGGTCGAACGTCGGCCCATCAAATATATATAAAAAGCTATCGGCGTCACCCATGGACACCCAGAACAACAGAGGCGTTACAAGTGCGTTACCGGCCTTTTGGGGATTAAGAATTTGAGTATTGTTGGGGATTCAAGAATTGGGGAGTTTTGGGAAGGGGGTAATTGGGCCTCCGGTAACCTCACTAACACGACGAAACACAACCGTTGTTCACGTCGGTTTTCTATGTGGCCGTGGTATCACTCCGGTTGAGCCAGAAAACCTTCTTATCTTACTTATTACCTTAATATGTAGGTTATGCACTATTTGAATTCTATAAAAAAAAAATGGGTCCAGTTGCATCTTTACCAAGTTTCCATAAAAGCGTAATATATCTGCTTTGTTACGGATTATAAAGTTACAGTATTGTATAAGTTACAGTAACTAATCTTAAGTTAGTTAAACCTTAATTAATTCTAGGATATGTTTTCCGATAACAATTTTCTGCATAAAATTATCAGTTTCAGCCCTGATAATCCTTCTGCGCCTCGCATAATGTGTTAATAAATCACCACAGCGCCGGGATAGACAAGTATTTTAACACAGACCGGGTATTTGACGTAGATACCACTCAATCTGTCGAGCTTTGCGTCAGAGCTGACATCACGAATTTTTCCATAGGCTTTCAGCGCTAAATTGAGAAATATGAGCAATTCTAATGTTTATCCCCATTTGTATTGATTTCAACTTTGTATATCCGTGGTAGTTCGTCAATGACCTTTGTAACAAATACCCCAAGGTTTACACGCGCAGTTACTGCAGGTGAGTAAATTGTAAACACCTATAAAATGACTTCTCAACTTTACGAACTAAGAGCTTAGATAATTTGTATGCGATGTAGATGCGAGCCGACGTTTATTGCAATCTTGCAGCAGAATCATTAACTGTTTGCGAGCGCGGCGCATGCGACACTCAACTTGTTATAGCCAACCTTACTTTCATTATTAACAATTAACATCTAAATCCTCTAATTCACTTGAATATAGGGTAACACTCAAGCAAATTATGCGAGAGTGCCTAGTAAAATTATAACTCAATTTACATAGTTCAGTCGTGCCTTTAAATGAATGAGATAAGTGAATTAAAGTGATTTCTGTTTATATCTTCATAATTCTATGATTAAATGAGACTTCATAATTTGTATATAATTTTATGTTGATAATTTGAAAGTCATATAAGCTTAATCCTCGTTCACAAGCTTTGTTATCTTAAGATTTAATTAGGGGTGAGTTATGAGGGGTTAGTATGTCGTTATCTTTGAAAGAATTTAGTGTTTACTTATCAGTTAGTCGGTAGCGCGGGGCGAGTGGGCGGCGGGACGCGGCCGCGTGTCGAGCGGAGCCCGGAGGCGGGAGCGACCGCGGAGGATCCCACTCCACGTCAAGTTGGAAGCGTAGCGCGACGCCTCACCGGACCGGCACGCTCCGACCGCTCGCTCTACGCCCCGCGCGGGAAACTACGCACACGCATTTTCAGAATATTCTGAAAACTTACGCTCTCAGTGAAAACTACGCCGAGTTCCTCCACCTCCTTGGATTTCTATAATGTTCAGTGTTTGTGACGTACATCTAAGCAGACGAACAAATTAATTATCAAGTTTGATAAGGATGTGTGTTGGAGACATTTCAGTGTTAATAAGTGAAAGTAATTTACATAATCGTAGAATATTATGTTAGTTTAATTATGAGGGAAGTAAAGGCTGGAAATATGAAGAAGAGGAATCACAGTCAGACTTCGGAAAAGCCGAAGGGAAAACGGAGGGTGAGTTTGCACAACTACCTAGCCGACTTAGATATAAGTAGATATTATTGTAAATACATTATAAATACATACAACACTTATATATAGGTCTCACTAAATAACGAGTTAACCTGATTAATTAAATCTTTATTTAACCTTCGACTTAAGTCGTAATGAATGATGTAAATAAACACACTTTTTGCCGCGCCATAAAAAGTTTAATTCTTTCTGTTTTATTCTCTGGCCATTTGTCCGTAGTTACAATGAAAGCTGCGGATTGAGTTTATAGCCTCAGTAATGTAAATTGAGGAAATAAATAGTTGTACGGACAATTCCGAACACGATTGTACTTGGCATCGATGCAATAATAAATGTAAAAGCTATTTCACGATACTTAATTAAAGTTAAGTACGTCCCTGTACCTAATATAGGAAGTATATCTGTTAGGTATGTAGACGTCAAATAAAATGGGACAAAAAATATTTTTAGAGAGAAAGGGCACGGTAACAGGAAAATAATAAACATATTCACGACAGAATCAATGTTGTTGTGACATTAATGACTGTAATGTTTTTTTACTCTATCTTTTATCAAGCGATATATTTATTTTGAGATGACTGAATGGAGTAAAGAAACTGTTTTATATTTCGTATATCTCTTCAATATTTATTATTTAAGCACCGGGAGGGATATTGATACATAATACGTCGTAATACCCTCTTTTTACTAATGATTAGGCAGAGGTACACTGAGCATAATTATTTCGTTTAATACAATTGGCTAGTTTCCTATGATTATAATAAATTGATTCAACTTTTCAATGCAATAAATAATAAAAAATCAATCATACTAATAATGGATGAGACCATTGATTTGACAATTTATCTACTTTTGTATTTTTTCTCGCTAATTTTGAGGAAATAAGTATGCTATTTGACGCATAAATATGATGACGTCATAAGTTGCGATCCAATACAAAATTCATAGAAAAGTACATAAAAGTATTAAACACTACCTGTCAACTACTGTATTATATCAATTAACAAACATAGTTAAAGAAACTCCATGTAAAAACCGAAAATGTCGGTTTACCGAAAAAACCCACTGAGGTTGGTCATAGGTACTTAGGCGTGCTACATTGTGGGCCACATCATCGCTTACCACCAGGCGAGATAATGGCCAAACGGTATCCCATTAAATATAAAAAAAAAACTTTAGATCCAGTGTCAGCCGTAGTAAATAAAGCTAGGTAAATATTTTTTAAATTAAAAACTTTTTGAATTCAGAACAAGGAAACTAAACACGGTGTCGGTGAGTGCTGCACATGTTTGTCTGTGTAGTATACTTTTTAATATAACTTTGCAAAACAAATAACGAAGTTGGAAAAGGTTTTTAAATTCAAAATATGTAGCTTTGTTGGTCGAGTAATTTTATTTTAAGTTAATAACTAGTGGGTCTGCTGAATACCCAGTATGAGGTCCAAAGGTTAGGTTTTAGTCTCTGTAGGGTCTTTTTGTGTTATAAATAAAATGTTCATCTTTGTCTGCTAACATCAGAAATGAAAATAAGTGAAATATTTGTAGCTTGTAGAGGCAATGAGTTTAGTTTTGACTACATCACCTTTTTGCAGGGTAAAACTAATAGACATGTATTATTATGTATAGGTACATCTATGCATTCTATTTAAACTTTTTCTATTCGACACAATGTAAACACTACGCTAGACACCTTGTTAACATACACCTTAAATAAATATATAAACATTGACTTACATAATTTATTAATGTAGCAACACTGGAAACATATTTTAAAAACGGCGGGAACATGTTTTCTTACTTACACGAACCATGTTTTATCCAACAAATGCATAACTGTGGATCTGAGGCGTTAATACGAGTTTGTTTTACGTTTAAAGTATACGTAACGAGTACGCGTTCGGCGCTCTGATTGGTTGGTTCATTGGCGCCAGCCAATCACAGCGCCGAACGCGAACTAGTTATGAATACTGTACCTCGGTACTGTTACTCTGTTACCTCTGTACTGTAAAATATGAGAGATACATGTGTAAACGATGTTTGTACATGAATCTACATATTTATTTATTATTTGTCGTCCATTTATCAAAGTTAAACATTAAATTACTTAATGAGTTAGTCATTTGGTATCTAATTTTCGTAATGTTTTATTAGCTTTGTAGCATTAGCACGTGATTTTGCATTCACATAAGAATTTTATATTTTCCCGTTTGTGTACATCGAATTAAAGAAATTAGATTCCCTATAGAGATATTATCTCAGTAGGGAAATTTTCTCTCAGTACATTCTACCTTTACCTGACGAGTCTACGTGTCGCTTTTTCGTACCGTACCCGTATCCATAGTTTCAAACTCATGTTTTCGGTTTATTCCCAGACTTGCTAAAGTTTATTATACTTTTCATACCCAATGCATAATATAACTTCTCGCCTTTTATCCCCGAAGGCGTAAGCAAAGTGTACATTACAGCATTTAATGCCACTGTACAATGTAACACCCACTTTTCACTATCTAAGTTATGAATCCCATGTAATAGGGGGTGAGCCTATTGCCATATATCGGGCACATTTCCAGACTACGTGTTATTACTGACCCGTTGTTACATAGCAATAGGCTCAAACCCCATTACATGGGACTCATTCTATAATATAAATACTACCTTCTGCCTGCGGCTTCACCCACGTTCTCGTGACATAAAAAGTAGCCTATGTGTTATTCCAGACCATAATCTACCCCAGTTCTAAATTTCATCCCGATCCCTTCAGCCGTTTTGACGTGACAAACCAACAAACAAACAAACATACAAACAAACAAACAAATTAGTAATGAAAAAGAATAATTTACTTATTTCTGGAAGTATTAAAAATTGGGACGTTATAATTGCCTTTTCACCAATTGTATTTCAATTATGTATAACCACGAGAAAGTGAATTACCTCTTAGGAAGCACATAATTACTAGGTAGCCAACTAATAGATACTTAAAGCATAATTTGACTCACAATAACACAATAACAGGGTTCTTTAGTCAAAACTGAATGGAGCCGCCATAATTGTTGTTTATCTCGTAATTATCATGTTAAATATACCAATATACACTGAATTTATAGTTGGCGTGGGTATTGAAGTCAAACAAATTGAATGAAATCATTATTTCCTAAGTTATGACATTTATTATAAATATTATTGCATTGACTGTGTAAGCTTAAGGATTTACGCCCGAATACCTACTAAAACGCGCTTAAGTAGATATAGTTCTGTCACTACAAGTTCTTTGTAAAATGACAGAGATGGAACGATATTTAAGTACTTACAACTTTAAATAGAGTAGCCTTTCAGTATTTGGGCGTTAGTCTGCTATTAAAGGAATATTGTCTTGTTTGTGTACTTGTGTAGGGATGATGACAGGGAATCAATTCGATATATACTCTGTATAGATACCTAGTATACTCTGAATAGAGTCGAAAATGTCGACTAAAATAATTTTAAAAAAACAGTAGGTACACTACATACGTAGGTAGTAAATTCCACGAAACGAAACGAGGCCGAATAGTTAATACAAAACACAAAACATCCAATTATTACTTTTAAATAACTCATACGAAAATTCTACAAATAATACCTAAATGAGTGTACACAACTACATACATATAAATATCGATAAAGCCGCCATTCAAAATAAACTTATAACGTGAATAACAATCACCATTCAAGTTTAGTTAAAATTACTAACAATATGGACGACCTATGACCTTTACTTCGATATCGGCTAAACTCAACGAATTCGGACCCTGTTAGAACTCTGAAATAGTTTGCAATCGTCACATGACGTAACTTCATTCAGATCAAACAATGCCGACCGTACATTAACTTGTAACATGTTGATATTAAGGAAATTATTTCCGATGTACATTTGAATCTTCTCTAATTTGTGTATGATGGTATGAATTTCAGGATAATGTTGACAAGTAAAGCACAGTTTGTTTTGGAGTTTTGGAAAGCCATGCTTTGGCACGAATGGGCCGGCTCGACCGGAGTGATACCACGGTTTCACAGGAAACCGACATGAAACAACGTTTGCGTTGTGTTTCGTCGTGTGAGTGAAGTTACCGGAGGTACAGTTACGATTGCTTACCATCAGGTGATTCGTGTCGTTTATCGACCATTCCCATAAAAAAGTTTTATTGAGTATGTCACAAAAGCCTTAACTGCCGGAAAAAAACTATTAAGGGCTAATTCTACACTAGCGTTGCAATGTCAATCGAAGAACGACCCCTTAACACACTGAATGCCGTGTTAGTTAATGATAACTAATCCTGAAGACGTTTAATACATTAAATTAATACCCAAACGTTAATGTAGACAATAAATACTACACAGAATTTTAACATTACTTGTCCCTCAGATGTCATGTGATGTTGAAAAGTGTTTAAAATTATATCTTCATTAATCACTCCCAACTAACTAATATAATAAACTAACTTATAAAAAAGTAACTAGCTGACCCACCAAAAAAAAAATTAATTCTCACCTTTTAAACCCTTTCTGGACTTCCACGACCATTTCAAGACCAAAATTAGTCAAATCAGGTCAGTTATTCTCAAGTTTTAGTGAGACTAACGAAGGGAAATTCATTTTTGTTTACGTGTTAAGTTTTCATAATCACAATTAAAGTTTTCATATGCTAATATATTCAAAGTTTAAGCCTCATTTACAAGCATACAAGTGTGTTAAGACATGTATTAACATACTAACAAAATTTCCAACTGACTTAGGTACTAGTAAAGTCAGTGTGTACCGTATAATGTGTCTGTTGAGTGTACACGTCACTTAAGTCGTTGAATTCCCAGAAGTGAAGCCTCAGCTTAAGATATTCAATATTATAATCGTGGCCTAAGGCAATGGCCACCCTCTTTGGATTCAGTTTCACTAAGTAATGTAAGCTGTAAACCTAAGTATATGTATTTATAATAACATAACATAACATCA